TGTGGCTCAAGTTGTAGAACTAATCTTGATCAAAAAATAAAAAATAAGGGCTGGGAAGGTGGCTCAATGGTAGAGCGCTTGCTTTGCACGTATGAGGCCCAGGTTCGATTCCTCAACACCACATAAGCAAAAAGAAAAAAGCCGGAAGTGCTGCTGTGGCTCAAGTGGTAGAGTGCTAGCCTTGAGCTGAAAAGCTGAGGGACAGCGCCCAAGCCCAGAGTTCAGGCCCCACAACCAGACCCAAAAAAATAAATAAATAAAAAATAAAAACAAAAACAATAACCTCAGGGACAGCACCTGGGGTCCTGAGTTGAAGCCCCAGGACAGGCATATACTAGATACATAGGCAGCCAGATAGATGATGAGCATTTATAACACTCTTATTAAGAATTGAAAAATGAGTGCATTTCAAACTAAAGACAAGAAAAAAAAAACATGTTATATTCTATTTAATTTATACTACACACACACACACACACACACACACACACACACACACACACACACACACACACACACACACACACACACACACACACACACACACACACACACACACACACACACACACACACACACACACACACTACTCCAGGAGCATATTCTTTGCCTCTTTCAGCTTCAGGTATACAAGTCTTATGACTTACAGCTATAAAACATTTATCTTCAAGGCTAGCATTGTCAAATATTTCTCTGCTTCATCTTTTTATCTTCTGTTTATGTGGTGCCCTCTCCTTTGCCTCTCTTAAAAGGACATTTAAACCAGAAGGACATAAAGGACATAAAACCAGAAGTGATGCTGTGGCTCAAGCGGTAGAGTGTTCACCTTGAGCTGAAGAGTGCAGGGACAGCACTCAGGCCCAGAGTTCAATCCCCAGGACCAAAAAAAAAAGGACATTTATGATTTCTTGTAAGACGCTAAATAATCTTTCCTCACCTTAAAATCCTTACTCACATTTTCAAAGTCTCCTTTTCCAAATGAGGTTTACAGGTTTCAGAGATTAGAAACTAGTATCTTTGATAGACATAAGTCTGCCTATTGCAACTATTAAAAAGAGAAAGTGGAATAAAAGAAATCGATTTAGCCAGGCACTGGTGGCTCACACCTGTAATCCTAGCTACTCAGGAGGCTGAGATCTGAGGATTGCGGTTCAAAGCCAGACTGGGCAGGAAAGACCGTGAGACTTCTATCTCCAATAAACCACTAGAAAACTGGAAGTGGCGCTGTAGCTCAAGTGGTAGAGCGCTCTCCTTGAGCTGAAGAGCTGAGGGACAGTGCCCAGGCCCAGAGTTCAAGCCCCATGACCAAAAAAAAAAAAAAAATCAGTTTAACTAATTTCAAGTTATTGTACAGCTGTGTGACAGAGAAAGGGTATATAGTATTAAAAACAGAAATATGCTCACTCTTGATTTTTCAAAAATGTGTAAAGAACAACTTATTAAAGGAAAGACAGACTTTTCAACCAATTGTACTTTGATAACTATGGTAACCATAAACAGAAAGACTGTGATTTAAGTCTCAAACTGTGTACAAAATTAAAAATAGAAACAGATCACAAATTTAAATACTGAAACTATAAACTGTTAAAGTGAAAAATTACTAAAGGAAACACTCAAGATCTTGGGCTTAAGTAATGGTTAATTTTATGGGTCAATTTGGTTGGAGCATTTGTGTTTATGACAAGGTCTCCCTAAGTGCCAGGCTAATTTCAAACCTGCTAGGTAGCCCAAGCTGTCCTTACCAATCCACAGGTCTCCACTCAGGAGTGCTGGGATTACTGGCTTTTGCCACCACATCTGGATTATCTGCCAATTTGGAGGGGCCAAAACACCCAGATAATTGATTATGTAATCCTGAATATTTCCATGAAGATGCTTTTGGAAGAGATCAACATTTTTAAAAGTGGACTTTACATACTGCAGAGGCCCTCATCCAATCAGGTGAAGATCTGAATTGAGTAAGAATGACCTTCACACTTCCTCCCCAAACAAAAGAAAATTTTACCATCAGTCTTCAAAATTTGAAGTTCTGCATCACTTTCCCGGTGCATCTAGCCTGACAGGCCACTCAAGAGATTCTAAATTTGCAAATCTCTATAATTACAAGAACCAAATGCTTAAAATAGTTTTATGGATGTATACACACATGTATGAATTTACTGGTTCTGTTTCTCTAGGAAGCCTAAAATGTCTATGCAGTGACTTTTAAAACTTAAAAGCATAATCTATAAATGAAAAATTGATAAATATAAATTCATCAAAATAAAAAAACTTGGGCTGGGAATGTGGCATAGTGGTGGAGTGCTTGCCTTGTATTCATGAAGCCCTGGGTTCAATTCCTCAGTACCACAAACACACAAAAAGCCAGAGTGACACTGTAGCTCAAGTGGTAGAGTGCTAGCCTGGAATAAAAGAAGCTCAGGGACAGTGCCCAGTCCCTGAGTTCAAGCCCCAGGACTGGCAATAAATAAACAAACAAAAAATAAAATAAAAACTTTCTCTGCATGAGACTTTAACTAAAAGGATGGAAGGACAAGCCACACAGTAGGAGAAAATATTTGCAAACCTGACAAAATGGCAAATCTCACAGATACTCATACATATGAAGATGTTTGGGGCTGGAAATGTAACTCAATGGTAAAGCATATGCTCAGCATCAACAGGGCTTGGGATTCAATCCCTCAAACAAACAAAAGAAAAAAGACGCTCCACATTGACAACCGTTAGAGAAATGTGAATCAAAATAACAATATGATACCATTACTTACATATCAGAATTGTTAAAACAAGAAAGCAAGACTGGCCAGGCACTAGTAGCTCACACCTGTAATCCTAACTACTAAGAGAAGGCTGAGACCTGAAGATCACAGTTCAAAGCCAGCCCAGACCGGAAAGTCCATGATACTATTACCTCCAATAAACCACCAGAAAACCGGAAGTGGCGCTATGGCTCAAGTGGTAGAGTACTAGCCTTGAGTTGAAGAGCTGAAGCAACACCCAAGCCCAGAGTTCAAGCCCTATGACCAACAAAAAAAAAAAGAAAGAAAGAAAAAGAAGAAAAAAGAAAAAGAACTGCAGATTGGATCAGAAAACAAGATCCATCCATTTGTTGTCTTCAAGACCCATCTCACAGCCAAAGATAAAAACAAACTCCAAATCTACATTTGTGTAAATATATGGGGTTCCAACAATGAGGACCTCATCCTTGTCTCAACATGTATTCCATTGCTAAGGGACAGGAGAAAGTAAAAAAAGGAAAAGGCTTAAAACAGCTTTTGTGAAGAATTAGGCAAACAGATGGCCAGAGAACTATATTAAGATTTCCAAATATTACTAAGGTCCAGCAGTAGTCAGAAACTCTGAACTTCAAGAGCAATGAACTTTAAATGACCATAATGAAAACACTGGCTATAAAAGTAGGATTGGCCAGGCACAGGTGACTCATGCCTATAATCATAGCTACTCAGGCAGCTAAAGTGTAAGATTGCGGTTCAAAGCCAGCCTGAGCAGAAAAATCTATGAAACTCTTTTAGCTCCAATTAGCCACCCACCTGTGGCTAAAAATGATAGAGCGCTAGCCTTGAGCAAATGTGAGCAACCATGCTCACGCCCCGAGTTCAAACCCCACAACCGATAAAACAAAAAAAGAAAAAAGCAAGATTGCTTGTGTACACAAATATAAAATATACTTTGAAGTGTGAAATTGTGGTAATGGCTAGATGAAATAGAAAATACGTCTTTCTCAATGCTCATTCATTCTATAAGGAGTTGTGTCATATTCTATATCACATATTCCCAGTGAAAGCATCAGGCAAACTCTGAGGAAAAGCCTACTAGGAACTAGAAATAACCAGTGCTACCTAATGAGTTAATCTCAAACACCACAAGTTTTTCTAGAGAACTTTTCTGTACTTTTCCCTATTTCTGTTCAAAAAGCTAACAAGGAAAGTTACAATCTACAGAAAGAACAGAACTTCCAAGACCACCATGCCAGACAACTTCACCACACAACCTTCTAATAAGCTTACTTGCATTACAAAGTTGACTTTCAGACAAAAAAATTAATCTTTAAGTTTACTTAAAAATTAAGGCTTTTCCAAATATACTTGTTTTAATTTTATTTCTTTTTTAATGATTTTTACTTTGAAAAATAAACTGTGTAGATATAATCTCAAAATAAAGTTAGATGAAGGAGGAAAACAAAGCAGGCCAAATAAAAGTTTTTTCAGGCCAGTATTTGCTGAAGCCAAGGGTATATCTACCTTAATCACTTACTACACACAAGTATATAAATGGAAGGAATGATTTACTACCTCTGTACTGTTTTGGTATTAAAAGTCAAAGAACAAATTTCAGTGAGCATAAGATAGCAGATAATAATTCCAGTAATAACTTATATATCCATCATTACCTAAAGATTTATTGGAAATAAGTCAAAACAATTAAGAGCTAGAAAAGAGTAAAACTTCTACTAGAAGACTAGGTAAACTATCAATCCTTTCTACCTCACATACCATCAAAAGAGAGAAGAAATAATGTTCTCACAAATTAGTGCTGGTCCTGCAAAGGCAGAACTACTATGAAAACCACTAAAAGACCCTTGTAAACTTCAAAAGTTATTTTACATATTTTCCAGCTATTTATTTTTTTTTTTTTTGGGGGGGTCCGGTCATGGGGCCTGAACTCTGGGCCTGGGCGCTGTCCCTCAGCTCTTCAGCTCAAGGCTAGCGCTCTACCACTTGAGCCACAGTGCCACTTCCGGCTTTTTTCTTTTTGCTTATGTGGTGCTGAGGAATCCAACCCAGGGCCTTGAGCATGCAAGGCAAGCGCTCTACCACTGAGCCACCTTCCCAGCCCCTTTTCCAGCTATTTAAATCAGAACAGAGTTCATGCATTCTGGAAATATAAAGCTAAACAAGTCATAACCCTTACTAACAATTAAAATACACATTTTTCATCAAGGTGGTATGCATGTTTCATCATTCTACTTTTATTCTTACCCTTATTTGTTCAGTTGAGCTGCTGCTAAGCTCATCTCCAGATTCAGAATCTTGATGTATTCTTTCTGAGCCTTCTCCAGCTGAATCACAAGACTGTTCCTGGGAGAAGCTAGTTTTCTCTATGTCCAAGAACTCGGGACCGGGAAAGTGTCCAAATAAGCGTGTCCTACTCTGGCTGGAAACTTTAGGAGAATGTGAGTCATTGTTAAATTTTCCATTATTATGGGTCAGGTCCAGGCTGAGGTTGAACGTCTGACTCGGATTATAACTGGGTCCAAAATTCTGATTGGCATCACGAATAAGACCTGTTCCTTGAATAGATGATGATGGTTTCCCAAAACTAGAAAGCTCAGGCAATTTGTTCACATTTTCTGTGGATCGCTGAAGATGAAGGCTCTGCATCATTTTCATAGAATTATTTGGAAGACCAATGGTGTGTTTCACAGGTGGCATCAGAGCTTTTCGGGTAACCTCCTTAACATACTGGGCTGGCACATAGAATGCTTTGGAATTCTCATCTGGTTTGACTTGCCACCAGTCATCATTGGTCTTTTTCACCAAGATGTATCGCTCCCCTTGTTTTATCACAATCTTTCTGTCCTTTGCTTCATATTCATAATCATATTCCACTTCAATATACACTTGTCCTGGAACAATCTTCCCACCTCTGTCAGCCATTTTTATTTAATAATATTCACCTCTCAAAAAGGACAGTATACCACATTATGGCTTTATGGCTTGCTGCATTAAGATAGCTATTTTATTTAAATGGAAGAGAACAAAGAAAAAACTTAATGTAATCTAAATTTGACATTACTCACAAACATTACATAACACAGGTCATTTACAGAATATTTATTTCGAATCTCAAACCCCAGGAAGTAAACATGTCAAATATCACATGTACTATCATACATTAACATTCTCTGACTCTACAATTATCTAATTTTTCAGTTATGCAATGACTCACCAAAACCAATGACTAGACCGTGAAAATGCTAAGCAACTTAACACAACACTATCAAAAACTTGAGAACTTTCCTAACTTTCATACACTACTTCAAATTTTCTCCACCTTCTCTGACAGGTTCACTAACAGTAACCAATATGAATCAGGCACTGAGCTAGGTTCACTACATGCATTACCCAAACACTTTTTGAAGTTAAAGCTGAAGCTCAATGGTCCTGCATTAATATTTTACCTTGCATTAATATTTTACTTTGTATTTGTTTTTATTTTTTTTATTTTTTATTTTTTGGGTCCAGTCATGGGGCCTGAACTCTGAGCCTGGGCGCTGTCCCTCAGCTCTTCAGCTCAAGGCTAGCATTCTACCACTTGAGCCACAGCACCACTTCTAGCTTTTTTCTTTTTGCTTATGGGGTACTGAGGAATCAAACCCAGGGCCTCATGCATGCAAGGCAAGTGCTCTATCACTGAGCCATCTTCCCAACCCCTTTGTATTTGTTTTTAGATTAGGTAAAGCATCCGTAATCCAAAATACCCAAATATGATTTTTTTTCTTCTTAATGGCACTCTGGGCCTGACACTTGTTAGAGAAGTGCTCTACAGCTGAGCCATGACTCTCTTCCTTTTTTATTGTAAGATAGGGTCATGCTTTTTGCCTAAGCCCCCTCCTAACATTGATTCTCCTGTTTTATGCTTCCCACTGTAGCTAGAATGTCAGTACATACCACCACACTCAGCTTCTTCTGTTGGGAAAGAATTTCTAAACCTCTTCTGCCTAGGGCTAGCCTCAAACTGAGCTCCCCACAATCTCAGCCTTCCAAGTAGCTAGGATTACAGATCTGATCCATCACACACAGTTCAAAATCTGCAACTTTTTGAAGACCAACATAATAATAGTACAAGGAGAAAATTCTACACCTGCCCTCAAGTGATAGATCACAGTTAAAACAAAGGTTCAATAAAATACTATGCAAAACTCCCTTCCAGCTATGGGTATCTGGTATACATAAGACACAAATAAGCCAAGCACCTGTAATCCAAGCTACTCAGGAGGTTGAGACCTGGTTTGAAGCCAGCCCAGACTGGAAAGTCTGTAAGACTCCTATCCCTAATTAACCACCAAAAAGCCACAAGCAGAGGTATATCTCAAGGGGTAGAAGGCCAGCCTTAAGCAAAAAAATCTAAGGGACAAGACAGCACATAGGCCTTGAATTCAAACCCTAGTACTGACACCAAAAAACAAAACAACAAGAACAACAGAAGAATCTCACATTTGAACTTGGATCCTACCACTAAGATATCTCATTACGGACATGCAAATATTCCAAAATTTGAAAAATACATGAAATGTAAACAATACCCCATCCCAAACATTTCAGATAAGGGATATACAACCTGTACTTGGTACAGGAGCCCTAGGGAGCTAATATACTCAACCCATTGCTCAAACACGCTAATACTTTGGCAAACTGAGATGTATCAAGATGCTGAAATCCAGGTTCCATAGCAACCTACAATTTTTCTCAGTATCCAAGTATTAAGCTATTATAGTATACCATAATAGCTAATAATATACATATAGTGTAACTGCAGAAACCATCACTCTCCTAGGTGTAATTTTCTTCTCTGTGACTAAACTCAGGTGGTAAATAAATTAATTACTGACACAATTTGGGTAACTACAATTTATTTCTACACAAAATACTGGGTAACAAGTTTAATATACAGTAATACTGTTTCAAAAAAGATGGAAGTATAAAACTTACCTTAGAATGAAGAGATGCAAATACGTGGTGTTACATTTAAACCTACAAGATAAAACATGTTTATTAACTCTAACCAAGATTCCTTAAAGAGGCTAAACACATAATCTTGTTTATAATTTTAGAAGCATAATTTTTAATAATAGCTATAAGAAACACAAGACAGTATAATATCTATTATGATTGTACAGGACCCACTCCAAACATAAACATAATCACTAAGAGCCACTGAGGCCTGCTTTACCACTGCCCTCATCTGCCTCACACTGTTCCAACGTCATTTCTGCCCCTTACTTTTTACTGTGCCAAACAAAAATGTCACTTAACACTTCTAATTATATATGAAACAACTTCGGCAAAATTTAAAAAAGTAACTTTACAGTACTAAGCGGGAAAAGACAGTGAAAACACATAACTTTTTATGAAGTTATTGGGAGTCTTAACATATTTCCTCCAAAGAATGCTCACTAGTTATGAAAAGAAAAACAGACCTTTACAATGAAAGTTCTACAATTAACAAAATCAAACTTAGCAACACCAATATTGAGACACCCTGATGACACATTCCTTCTAGTATGATTAAAAAAGACATACATAATGGCACCTGCATTGTTTTTTTATCAAAAGCATATTTACTTAAGACAATTATTAGAAAACAAACCCAATAAGTGAGACATTCTATTAGTGTATAAAACCTAACTCTTCAAGTGTTTATGTCATGAAAAAATAAAAAGAGGGAAAGATTCCTCACAATTAAAAAAGGACTACTGACACATTAACGATTAAAACTACCTGGTAGTCTAACAAATTTGCTTACCCCATGGTTTTTCCTATCATAATAAATAGAAATTGAGTACCAGTGACTCACACGGGTAATCCTAGTTACTCAGGAGACTGAGGTCTGAGGATGGAGGTTTCATGAGATCTGAGGATCGTGGAAGTCCATGAGACTCTTACCTCCAAATTAACCACTCAAAAGCCAGAAGGGAAGATGTGGCTCAACTGGTAGAACATTAGCCTTGAGCAAAAAAAGCTCAAAGACAGCACTCAGAACCTGAGATCAAGCCCCAGTACACGTACGCCTGTATACACACACACACACACACACACACACACACACACACACACACACACACACACACACACACACACCTAGCATTCCAAATGTTCAAGCTTTACTTTCACACAAGGGTATTAGTCACTCTGTTCTTTAATCCTACAAAATGTTATTACTGCAAATTTTCAAAAAATCTATGCTCATGGGGCTGGGAAGGTAGCTCAGTGGTAGAGCGCTTGCCTTGCATGCATGAGGTCCTGGGTTTGATTCCTCAGCACCACAGAAGCAAAAAGAAAAAAGCCGCAAGTGGCGCTGTTGCTCAAGTGGTAGAGCACTAGCCTTGAGCTGAAGAGCTGAGGGACAGCGCACAGGCCCAGAGTTCAGGCCCCAAGACTGGACCTCCCCCCCAAAAAAAATCTATGCTCACTTAGTCCCATCATAGTATTCCTAATATTGCACTGTAACACATTATTCATCTGTCTTTGGTGATGCTGGTATACACAAACCTACCAGGCTGACAGTAATATATGAAGTATAGCACATATAATTAAATACAGTACACAATATTTGATGATAATAACTGTTACTGGTGTGTGTTTATTATACTACACTTTTTATTGTTATTTTAGAGTGTACCTTATACTCATTTTTTAAAATGTTAGCCATAAAACAGCAAGCCAAGTTATGCAGGCAGCAAACACATATAAACTGTGTCACCAAAGCTGGGCACCAGTGGCTCATGCCTGTAATCTTACCTACTCAGGAGGCTGAGCTCTGAGGACCATGTTTCAAGGTCAGCCCAGTCAGGAAAGTCCATGAGATGCTTATTTCCAATAAACTACTCAGAAAAAGCCAGTAGTGGTGCTGTGGCTCAAGTGGTAGAGCACTAGCCTTGAGCACAAAGAGGCTCAGGGACAGTGCCCAGGTCCTGAGTGTAAGCCCCAGAACTGTTCCCCTCCCCTACAAAAAAACTGCGTTTCCTACTGCATCAAGAGATCACAAGGAATCTAGCATGATAGAGCACATCTGTAATCCCAAACCTCAGGAAATTGAGAAAGAAGAATAAAAAAAAAATTAGGCCATCCTGGACAACTTAATGAGACGCTGTCTCACAACAACAAAAAAAATAAAAGGTAACAGAATTATGACCAAATCTTTGTCAGGATCTCAGGAGGAACACTTTTAGGTACATCATAGTAAAAACACTAGATTTTAACAATAAAGAAATGATCTTCCACACAGCAAAAACAAAGGAGCTATACTAGAATGGGAAAAAAAATCAGAATCACTGTAGATCTCTCCACACAGACAATGAATTCAAGGAAAGCCTGGGAAAGTACCAGCCCTGAGAACCCATAACTGCAACCCAGATTGGTATATCCAGTGAAGCTAGCATTCATATTCAACAGAGAAACTAAAAGTTTTAATAGTAAAGAAAAACTAAATTAATTCATAAACAATAATCCAGCACTACAAAGAATAAGAGCCAAGTGCCAGTGGCTCATGCCTGAAATCCTAGCTACTCAGGAGACTGAGATCTGAGGATTGTGGTTCAAAGCCAGCCCCGGCATGAAAGTCTGTGAGACTCTTTTTTTTTTTTTTTTTTTTGGGGGGGGGGGCCGGTCCTGGGGCCTCAACTCTGGGCCTGGGCACTGTCCCTCAGCTCTTCAGCTCAAGGCTAGTGCTCTACCACTTGAGTCACAGCACCACTTCCGGGTTTTTTTCTTTTTTGCTTATGTGGTGCTGAGGACTCAAACCCAGGGCCTCAGGCATGCAAGGCAAGCGCTCTACCACTGAGCCACCTTCCCAGCCCTGTGAGACTCTTATCTCCAATAAACCACTAGAAAATCGCAAGTGGCACTATGGTTCAAGTGGTAGAGTGCTCGCCTTTAGCTGAAGAGCAAGGGGACAGTGCCCAGGCCCAGAGTTCAAGCCCCATGACAAAAAAAAAAAAAAAGACTACTAAGAGGGGAAACAATCTGAAGAAATCAATCAAGATCAGGGATCCACATCAAACAGACATCACTAGAAGACCAACTTAGTAAGCACAAGAAGAAAGGAAAGAAGAAAAACTTAGGAAAGCAGGAAAATGACAGGAAATACAAGACACCTCTCTCTAATAATCATAAATATTACTGGACTCAATTCATCAATCAAAAGAAAAAGAACTAGCTGGGCACTAGTGGCTCAGGACTATAATCCTAGCTACTCAGGAGGCTGAGATCTGAGGATCATGGTTCAAAGCCAGCCCAGACAGGAAAGTCCATGATACTCTTTTTTTTTTTTTTTTGTCGGCCGTGGGGCTTGAACTCTGGGCCTGGGCGCTGTCCCTCAGCTCTTCAGCTCAAGGCGAGCGCTCTACCACTTGAGCTACAGCGCCACTTCCGGTTTTCTGGTGGTTTATTGGAGATAGGAGTCTCACGGTCTCTCCTGCCCGGGCTGGCTTTGCACCGCGATCCTCAGATCTCAGCCTCCTGAGTAGCTAGGATTACAGGCTTGAGCCACCAGCACCCGGCGTCCATGATACTCTTATCTCTAATAAACCACAAGAAGACTGGAAATGGCGCTGTAGTTCAAGTGGTAGAGCGCTCGCCTTTAGCTGAAGAGCTCAGGGACAGTGCCCAGGCCCAGAGTTCAAGCCCCATGACCGACAAAAAAAAAAAAGAAAGAAAGAAAAAGAATAAAAAAGATAAAGAACTGCAGACTGGATCAGAGAACAAGATCCATCTATTTGTTGTCTTCAAGAGACCCATCTCACAGCCAAAGATAAAAACAAACTCCAAAAGCCGGGCGCTGGTGGCTCACGCCTGTAATCCTAGCTACTCAGGAGGCTGAGATCTGAGGATCGAGGTTCAAAGCCAGCCCGGGCAGGAGAGACTGTGAGACTCCTATCTCCAATAAACCACCAGAAAACTGGAAGTGGCGCTGTAGCTCAAGTGGTAGAGCGCTCGCCTTGAGCTGAAGAGCTGAGGGACAGCGCCCAGGCCCAGAGTTCAAGCCCCACGACCGCCAAAAAAAACAAACTCCAAATCTACATTTGTGTAAATATATGGGGTTCCAACAATGAGGACCTCATCCATGTCTCATAATATATCCCACTAAGGGACATATGACTGTGTTTATCCTTGGCTGACTTGGAGCTCTTGTTTTTCCAGGGAAGTAATAACTTTAACTTAGATATATCTTCAAGGTACGAAGGGTCAGTAAGTTAACATGCCGCTAAACTAAGGTTAGTGTAGCTTAAATATATCAGATATTAAATATAGATTTAAATATATCAAATGTTTCATTTTGTGCTAGTAAGAAAGGGAGAACAATGGATTAAAAGGCCAGTTCCTGTTCTATCTCTGTCACTGTCAGGTTTTATGATCACACCTCCTGGAATGACTACAGAAATAGATATGAAGGAGAAATCAGGGAGAAAAATAAGGATTAGATGGCACAAGAAGAAAATCAGTCTCACTAGTTCAATATAAGGTATATGATCTACAGTTTTAGTTAAAACCAACTAAAGGGGGACTGAGAATGTAGCTTAGCGGTATAGTGATTGCCTAGCATGCATGAAGTCCTGGGTTCAATTGCTCAGTACCACATAAACAGAAAAAGCCAGAAATGGCACTGTAGCTCAAGTGGTAGAGTGCTAGCCTTGAAAAAAGAGCTCAGAGACAGTGCTCAAGCCCTGAGTTTGAGCCCCAAGACTGGCAAAAACAAACAAAAAATGAAAGTAGATGAAGTAGTCAAAAGATATAATCTATATAGAAAGGGAGTCAAAAGATACAATCTATATAGAAAGGTAGTTAGATACCCAGGCAGAAGAAATGAGCAAAAGTAGATATAGTAAGAAAACAGAATAGGAGCTGAGGTTAATTAATAGTCATCCCTGGATTGAGGGGTAGGGAATAAAACTGTAAACCACCTTAAAGAAACTATTAAAGGGGCTGGGGATGTGGCCTAGAGGTAGAGTGCTTGTCTAGCATGCATGAAGCCC